GGGGGGGGGGTAGGTGTGTTTCATTTGCCAGAAGGCACTGTGGACTTGAGTTACTTTTAAATCTTTACACAACCCTCGATTACAAGTTGTCCAAAGCGAACAAACAAAAACAAGTGTGTGTGGGGGAGGGGGAGGGGGGTCTCTCGACAGAAGCAGAACATCCTACGTACCCCAATTTGTGAATGAACCCTGGGTAGAGAGGATCGTGTGAATGATAGCCATCAGAGAAAGAGAGTGAGAGAGGGAGTGAGAGAGAGACACCAGAGTCAGACACAAAAGGCGGACGTCAGAGACAGACATTGTTTCAACTGATCATTCTGTGTTGGGTGAGTTGCTGCAGGTGTGAACATGTCGAGAGTGAAAGCTGAGACAGAGCGGCCAATCTCTTGATCTGGACGAGACATTTCAACAGTTGTTTGATTGGCGTTTAAAAAATAAAAAAAGAAGTGGTTTACCAGGCTGACAAACTATTCCTTGTATTACAAAATTATGTTAACTATACTTTATTAACGTGTCTTTGTGTCACAATGGCATCAACGTTTCATTAATAAACCTGAACAAAAGTACCTCCAACATAATGTACTAGTTGTACTTTTGTTGGGCAGTACTTAGTGGTGATTGCCCCCAAGCTTCTGGATGCCAAACATCAATGAAGTAGCTTAATTTATCTTTTGCCTTGACTCCCTGGAGTTCATTTAATAAAATCATTACTATAATATAAGAAGTCAGACAACAACATAACATGTTGAGATATATAATTGTAGTGAAGTGGCTAGAACATTTCAACACCAAATTAATACAAACACCTGCTCCGTACATACATCCGCACCCTACAAACACAAGCTCGGTACAAACGAACACCCACTGAGTACAAACACACACTGAGTACACACACACACTGAGAACAAACACCAGCTCGGTACTAACGAACACTCACTGAGTACACACACACACTGAGTAAAAACACCAGCTCGGTACAAACAAACACCCATTGAGTACAAACACCAGCTCACTAAAAACACCAGCTCAGTACAAACACCAGCTCAGTACAAACATTAGCTCAGTACAAACACCAGCACAATACAAACACCAGCACAATACAAACACCAGCACAATACAAACCCCAGCACAATACAAACACCTGCTCACTACAAACACCAGATTAGTACAAACCACATTCCTCTTGCTGTTTCTCTCAGAGACAACATTTCAGCTAAGAGTTATTTTTTAATTTAATTCTGTTTTACTGCTGTTTATTTGTCGAGGAAGGCTTCTTGCCGATACGTTCGTTGTTTTGTTGCTCTTTTTTATTTATGTTTTCCCATACTTTGTTTCGCTCGTTGCCATTTCTCTAACCTGATAGCAGTCTATCCCCCCTTCTTACCTCAATACAAACATTAGCTCAATACAAACATTAGCTCAATACAAACATTAGCTCAATACAAACATTAGCTCAATACACACACTAGCTCAGTACAAACATTAGCTCAATACAAACACTAGCTCAGTACAAACATTAGCTCAATACAAATATTAGTTCAGTACAAACATTAGTTCAGTACAAACATTAGCTCAGTACAAACATTAGCTCAGTACAAACATTAGCTCAATACAAACATTAGCTCAATACAAACATTAGCTCAGTACAAACATTAGCTCAGTACAAACATTAGCTCAGTTACAAACATTAGCTCGGTTACAAACATTAGCTCAGTACAAACTTTAGCTCAGTACAAACACCAGAACAATACAAATATCTGCTCACTACAAACAGATTAATACAAACCATATTCCTCTTGCTGTTTCTCTCAGAGACAACATTTCAGCTAAGAGTTATTTTTTAATTTAATTCTGTTTTACTGCTGTTTATTTGTCGAGGAAGGCTTCTTGCCGATACGTTCGTTGTTTTGTTGCTCTTTTTTATTTATGTTTTCCCATACTTTGTTTCGCTCGTTGCCATTTCTCTAACCTGATAGCAGTCTATCCCCCCCTCTTACCTCAATACAAACATTAGCTCAATACAAACATTAGCTCAATACACACACTAGCTCAGTACAAACATTAGCTCAATACAAACACTAGCTCAGTACAAACATTAGCTCAATACAAATATTAGTTCAATACACACTAGCTCAATAAAAACATTAGCTCAGTACAAACATTGGCTCAATACAAACATTAGCTCAATACAAACATTAGCTCAATACAAACATTAGCTCAATACACACACTAGCTCAATACAAACACTAGCTCAATACAAACACTAGCTCAGTACAAACATTAGCTCGGTTACAAACATTAGCTCGGTTACAAACATTAGCTCGGTTACAAACATTAGCTCAGTACAAACAGCTCAGTACAAACATTAGCTCTGTACAAACATTAGCTCAGTACAAACAATGCTTCCCAAAACCAATTTAACCTTTTTTCCCTCAAATCTACTCTGTAGATGTGTGTATAATAACCCCCAGCCTCTCACACACAAACTATCTCTAAAATTCACAACAGAGTTGCAGCAACTGATCTCCCTTGAAATTCAGATTGAGATGGTTTTCTACTGAATGTTCTCAAGAAATACTCAAAGATTCTAACAACAGAAAACTGTAATACTGAGACACCAATGGTCAATCTTTTAATATCAAAGATTTTGTCCAATCACCAACATAAATGACTTAAATGCCAATCAGATGTCCTTGACTTACAGACTTGCTATGCATCTTTGACTTAAAGTTAGTGTTTTTGTTAGACTTGTGGGATCAACTGAAAAAAAAATCTAAATTTGGGAACATAAAATCAATGCTCCACAAATTATGCATTATAGTATTTTAAGTGGAAAGGTTTGAAAGACTCTGAAAGGCTGTGGATCCCTCCTCCAGAAGCACACTATCAATAAGCAAAGCAACCACCTTTTTCGTAACATAGTGTGGAGAGTTCGGCCGGGGGCGTCTGACTAGGGATTAACGGCCGTCTGACACCGTCTGACAGGTACAGCCGGCGCCAGCTGACCAGGGATCACGATTGACGGATCAAGCAATCTGACCAGGGCATTTACCTGGGACGTCTAGACCTGGCGCCTGGACTGGGAGAGGAACTATGGGACGGGGAGGTATAAATAGGGATCTCTGGACGGGACGAAGAGAGAGCGCGGCCGGATGGTTAGCAAGGAAGGCGGCCGGACTGAGAACTAGATAGCAGGGAGAAGTCAGAGTTGTGAGACGAGTGAAAGTGTAAGCAAGTGACAGACCAAATAAAGAACACGTGTTTAATCATCAAATGTATCACCGGAGTTGTTTCCTTATTGAGTACCAGATCTAGATGAAGTTTAGCTAGAGAGTAAGCAAGGTTTCCTTACAATATTACTCTTAACTTAACATATTACTCAAAGTAAATTTAGTTTGAAGACACTCTTTTTGATCAACACCTAGCATCTTATACAAGGGGAAAATTGGAAGCAAATCAACTACACGACACCACCACCCCCCCCCCCC